CGTTCCATTTCCTTCCTTTCTTTCTTTCTTTCTTCTATTTAACTGTATTGTCTATTTATTCTATATATCTGTATACTAGATGCTTTGTACTGCATTCCTATATAATTATATAAGTATAATTGTATCTTGTTCAAATAGAAATAAAATTTGAAAAGTGACGAAATACTTTTGTCCTCAATTGTATTCTGATAATTTGAGCAATGATGTAGCTTTTTCAAGTGCTAGGCTTTAATACGTGCTATGATGAATAAAAATAAGAGTCTCAAAGGATCTGAGAGGAAGAGTTTAGTTTGGACGTTTTACTTTTCCCATTTTATACTGAATAGCAACGTACAATTAGTGATAATTGACCTCAAAACGCTGTTTGTTATTTCGAATAAGCAATATTGACTGTTGATATTGTACTAAATTCCACAGTTACTCAGTGTCAAGAAAGAAAGCGACCAGTAGAAGACTAACGTAAGATTGAATCATAGAAATGTAATATTTATGTATCAGTAGATCGTATCAATGATTATAAATCAATAAGACAGTAATGTTCATAAATATTAAGAAAAACAGAGCCTACGAAGAATTAAAATAAAAGGTTTGAATAGACAAGATTGTCATAATATAACGGATCGATAAAGTTCTTAATTGCAGTTAAACTATTAATGTGGATTATTGAAGTTGAGAAACTTTGATAACTTGTTTTCTTTATGTTTATTACTTCTTCTTGTGTTTGTTTTATTATTAGAACTAAACGTTTCGATTAAATAAAATCTTCATTAATATTTATTTAGACCAAATATATAATAAAAAAAGAAATAAAGAAAACCAGTTATCAATAGTAAAATTTTCTCTAACAAATAGGAAACTGATAAAATTATTAATACTAGAGAAACTTTTAAGATCAAATAAATTTTTATTAAAATATCGCAAAAGTTTAGAGAGGAATTGTGAAGTGACCCATGATTATTTCTTCAATTGAGAAATAAAATAAAACAAAAAGAAATGCAATACTGACTAATGAACTCATAAAATGTGTAACATGAATCGCAAGATTTTCATTCAAACTTTGGCATTGTTACTAAAAAGGTTTGAGTTTTCACTATATAGCATAGTAATCAGACATCGAACCACGTATTTTTTGCACAAGAAATAGATAGTGCTAGAGTTTTCACTGATTTGTTTCGAAAGGAAAAATATATAGAGTAATGCCAAAAGAAATTTCCAGTAGAAGTCTTCCGCTAAAGAGTACGTCTTCTACCGAATACTTAAACTCTGTGTCTTTTATTTTGAAGGATTATTTTATATTTTATCGATCTTATCAGAGAACTGAATCGTATGATGGTTATAAATTTTATTTATCAAATGAAACTGACAGAAACAAAATATGTGCTTGTCAAATAAATAGAAGAAGAAAAAAAGAAAGGAAAATAGAAAAAAGCATGACTCCAGTTTGCAAGCGTAAAGCAAATAGGAATGGAAGAATCCCGAACGAAATATTTCTGTTTGATGATCTGTTTTATCGTAGGAGCATGCTTTCTCTATTCGTTCACACCATCATTGTTACGTAATTTGCCTTCTATCAAATCTAATAAATCCAATTATACAAATCATTCAAAACCATTATTAATTAATGGAGTTGTTTGTACATTAATGAGAAACGAAGCACAATACGTCAGAGAATGGGTATCCTTTCATTTAATATTAGGAGCAAATTTCTTTGTTATTTATGATGATAATAGTACAGATGGATTAAATCAGATAGTACAGGGGTTTGGTGAACGTGTGAAAGTAATACCTTGGGGACAAAATAACACGGATCAACGAGAACATGTACAAGGTCGACGTCAGGTTACCGCCGCAAGACATTGTGTTTCTAACTATGGTACATTAACTTCATGGATCGCATTCATTGATGTTGATGAATTTGTATGGCCTTGTCAAAGAGATTCAAATCTACTTGATTATCATATTAAACGTGTAAATACACCATCAATTCGATTAGACTGCTTTAAATTTGGTACAGGTTATCCCGATCGAACTCAACTACCATCCGAACTAACTGTCGAAAAACATATTCTACGTGCTCCTTATAGAATGATGAATGAAAACTATGCAAATATAACAAAAAATTTACATGAATGTCGTGCGAATAATAACAATTGTGCAAGCGAAGGTGGATGGAAATATATTTATTTTACTAATTATGGTAAACAAAAATTCTATCAAACAATTAAGAATACAATTAGTGTTCATGGCTCTGGAGCACCTTTTAAACGTGGTACAACAGATCGACGACAAGGTATTTGTTGTAATCATTACGGTGTTCGTAGTACAGAATTTTTATTTAAAAAAGCAATCAAAAATAGAAATCCAGCTTTAACCACGAGTGCTAAAAGTAATCATTCAAAATTATTTTATAATTCCATACATGATATATTGATATGGCAATATTTACCTACTTTAAAAAATTTTTTGAACATTTATAGATTTTAGTAAGTAAATAAAGTAGATCATAATTCTTTGCTATATTTAATTGATTAGTACAGAATTTTATAACCATCAAAATCTGTGAAAATGGATGAATAAACTGACACAGAACATTTGTAGAAACGAAACGACAAGTTTTTGCATAGATAAGATAAAGAAAAGAACAAATTTACTTCTGGAGAAAATTACTGCAAAAGTCAATCTGTCCATTTCAGTACTTACAGTACTGGAAAAAATTATAGAATCGCTGTATTTTTG